TGCCTGCGACAGCGCGCCCATGTCCACGTCGAAGGCCACAACAGCTTCGACGCCCAGATTTCGCTCTGGAATATGGCCGAGCGACTCGTCTAGGGCACATTGCATTTGCGTCGCCGTCTGCGGCGCCCGCACCTCGCGAACTGCGTTCGCGAGTGCGACGTTTGATCAGCAGCCTTCCCAACGGTGGTCCCCGGAGCCGCGGAGTGCGAGATCGGGCGGGCAGTGGCAGCCGAGCGCGCGCGCTACACTAGCAAGGCGCGCGCGCAACATGCGGGCAGACTCCGGCAGCGCGCCGCTACCCTCGCAGCGCCCCGATCCACCTGGCGCGCCCCTTCTGCCAGGAGGAGAGGGAATTCGATCGCCGCGTGCACGCCCGCGAGCTCAGCAAGAGCAGGCTCGAGAATCTTCGCGCGGCTGCGCCCGCGCACCGGCCAGCGCCCGCGAGCGCTGGCGCCGCCTGGAAGACCATGTCGCTCTAGCGATCAGCAGGCTCGACTCCCCGGCGGCGCAGACCTCGGAGCCTCAGACGAGGCTGCCTGCCACCCGCGCCCGCAGGAGAGTCAGGAGCCAGCCCGTCATCTAGCGCTGGGGCTCAGGGCAGTGGCTCGCGCGACTATGTCACTCGACCAGGGATGCGAGCCAGTCTAGCAACTGGCGCAGAGCCCAGACGGTCAGCGACCCGAGCTACCGACGCAGCCGTAGGCCACCCCACGCCACCCCTCGTCACTTCGAGCACTTCGCGGTGGCCCGCATGAGACGCGCATGCGAGAGCCGCGCAAGCTACACCTCCGGCGGTGTCACTTCACTAAGAAGGAGTTGGCACGAGTATTACGAGCAGCCAACATGCCACAATTCATCTTCGACCTCATACCCATGGTGGTCAGCAACTTTTGAGGGCGCCGTAAGTGGCTACCACTAGCACATCAAACTGTCCCCATACTCCGCCTTTCGACATGATTCAACCTGCACGTCGAGTGCGACATCCTGAATTACAAGGATCGCGTGATCCTTCACTTGATCTTCCGCGCCTCACGGCGGCATAGAGGCCAGGAGATCATCTAAGCGCGACTCGACGCTGCTTACCACCATCGACTATCCATCGATTCGCCTGTTCTGTTCGATGGAGACATTCATCGTGGATGGCGAGGTCGGGATGGCCGCGCCATATTTCGTGGAGGAGATGAATAGGCGAGGAGTACATGTGGACATTCGAGCTCCCCGCCGGCACGCTCGCTTCATCGAGCGACGCGGTGCCGCGACGCGGTGCCGCGCGCGAAGTGACTTCGCGCTGCAGAAGAGCAGCTAGAGCGCGAAGGTATTTGCTGGCAACAGCCTCACCCACGAGCGGCGTTGCACCATGCAGCGTCGTTTTCGGAATGCAGCCATCCATGCTGCCACCACTCGAAGCAGACGAAGATGGTGAGGTATCCGGTGCCTGTGGCACCAGTGCTGGGTATTCTGCAGGTGGAGAAGTGCAGCCCAGCCGATTGCATTGGCGCATCCGAGAGATCGATTTGCAATGCATGATCGAGGCCGCGTCGATCTCGCGCGTCAGCTGCGCCCTCTAGATCCGCGCCGCCGAGTTCGGAATGGGCCGCTTCAACGTTGGCGATGTGGTGGAGCTCCGCAGGCCCCCGAGCACGAAGGACGCGTCGGGCTGGGCCGGCGCTAGGGCGGTCACGTCTGTGGACCCAGCTCGAGTCGAGGTGGCGGTCAAATACCGCCGAGCCGAGATGGCGCGCGGACTGCAAGACGTCGGGGCCTTCATCGGCGCCGTCTTTGACGACGCGGGCAGCGGCGCGGTGCAGGCAGGCCTGGCCTGGGACCGCGCGGGGGACAACCTGGAGCACATCGCGCCAGGCTCCGGGGCCAGAGCCTTCGGCCACTGGGAGGACGCGAGGGGCGCGCAGGTTGCCGCGCAGACCAGGCAGCGCCCCGACAGCCTGGAGCCCTACGCCATCTGTCCCGCAGATGCTGTCAGATGCCAGACGGTCGCGACGTGCGTCTGACACGCGGCCAGAAATGTGTGGGCCACTGGCTGGGCTGCAGCCGCAGCTTGGCTACCTGGTGGCACCTTCAGTACTTCTTGACCTCTGGCAGATCAACTTCGACGCCGTCAAGTTCGACGCCCATCAGCTTGTCGGCATGCATTGGAGGGGCACTCGCATCGTCTAGCTTGCCTCGGGTCACGAGCCGCAACTGTTAGCAGACGCCGGACAAGACCTAGACGGATCGTCCGGTGACTGTGTCAATGACGTTCCCGAGGGCGCCGCCATCACCGCCGAGGGTGGTTCACCATCGGCCTTGTCGGCTATGCCCAGCCACATCCAACAAGTAACGTGGGCGGCATGGCGCGAAGTCGAAGCGGCAGAAGACCTGGCCCAGGAGCTCGAGGGACTGGAGAGCGCTGACAGCCAGCCAAAGATCTTCGCCGCCGTCGAGCACGCCGCGCCCGGCCTCGGCCGCAGGCCCCGGGAGTGGCCCCAACGCCTCGAGGTGCAGCGCCAGTGTCGGAGCCTCCACGCGCAGTGCCACTACTTT